ACATTATTTGTTTTCTGTAAAGATTTAATAAACAGTACGCACTTGTTTGACTACGGAAAAAAAAAAAAAAAAAAAAAAAGTATAACCACTATTCAACTATATCTAATATATTAATATTATTTTAAAATTTATTTTCAATATTAGTTAAATATAAATTATATAAACAATTCAATATTTAATTTACTACTATTGCATATAAGAGATATTGTTTCTTTTTTTATATACGTATATATTTTTTATATACAAATCAAAAAAAGAAATGATGTTTATCTAAACGACACCAACCTGATTGAGGGAAAAAAAAAAAAAAAAAAAAAAAAGAAATGATGTTTATCTATAATATACGGTATATTTTTTTTACAATAACTGGTCACATGGATATTGTGTCAAATAATTTGCGACTATATTTGGTACACAACTAGAAATATTGGACGTGCCTATAGTAAACAAGATAACTCCGTCAGCTCCGATTGGCCAGTAATAAATGTAATAAAACATTTGTGATGGTGCATTGCCACAAACTTACTACGTCTACACCCTTTATCATTGCTGCGATATTTCACATAGTCTATATATACTGTACTTGGGTTTTATTTTCAGGAGGAAACAAACATTTTAGAGAAAAATGGATTCTGGTTTTCAATCAAATAATCATAGATCTGGCACTGAGACAACTCCACTTTTGCCTGATAACCATTTCAATAATCAGCACATCTTCGGCCAGCATTCAAAATTAAGGCGTTTTATAAAATTTTTATTAATATTAATCCCTTTAATTCTTATATATTCATATTTTTATACTCACAAGAAATCGGATGAAAAACCTAGCCCTCCTCCATTTGAAGACATAAAGAATCCAAATGAGCATCATTTGATTTGGAAGGGAGCTCAATCTTTTGATTATTATTTGGAGTCGTCAAATCCTATGATATTTTCCAATGTAATAAAGGAGTTGGGTTCTAATTTCGAAAAGCAAAATTCAAAGTCAATACCAAAAATTGAATTTATTGCGAAAAGCGATCTAGGATCACCCTTAAAAAAAGAAAGAGTGACTAAGAAAAGATTAGACAAGTTAAGAGAAAGGATCGAAAGGGGTGAAGAAAATGAGTTTTATGAAGGTGTCGAACTATATTATGATATCTTTATAAATTTTTATGAGTCATTTAAAGTGTTATCGGCAACTTCAGGTGTTAATGGAGAGTGGAAAAATTCAAATATTACATTGATTAGTCAGGAGAATTCAACATTAGTTGAAGTATGTGAATTCAAGATCGATTGGTCTGATGATTTGGAAGGTGTGATTTCGAAGAGGAATGCGAATAATGAGACAAGCTTGAACGGAGAGTATAATGTTGTGGCTTATGTGAAAGGAAGCATTGATTATGGATTTATGTTTTACGAAAAAGAAGATGGAGGTGGGAAATTGTTTGCAGAGACCAATCAAACGGAGATTGGATGGAAGATGGACCGGAGGTAAGCATTTTACATACAGAAAACTGTAGATATCTTTACATCATTTATTTACTTTATGATTTTATATATTTTATATAGAAATATATACGTTTACGAAGATTCACCAATTCCAGCTATCTTACCTGCACTGTATATCATGTATTATGATTTCTTCCAAAGGATGAGTCTCTAACTTTCTGAGATTATTCTTGAGAAGGGTCTTTGATGATAATCTTTAAGTGGATTTGGATATTCTTATGTTTCTATCATATATTTCTTTTCTTATAACAGACATTCGAAGAATTAATTTTTTTAGTCAATGATAATAGCATTGTTAATTAATTATAACTTCGATTCACTGTTTTAACATCACATGAAATTGTGAATGGTGATGCGATTATATTTTTTTAGAACTTGACTTTGAATGGAGAATTAGATTAGAAATTATTATATTTTTATGCATGTTCATAAATCTTTTAATAAACTGTGAAAAAAAATGCAATAAAACTGTGATTTTCAAGAAACGTGCATTTGCTATTTAATTTTAAGATAATAAAAAATTTTAAAAATATTTATAATCGATAATTTATGATAGCAATAAAAAAAAATATATTATTAAAATAATAGATTTTGCTTAAATGATTATTAATTTACAATATGGGTAATTATTTTTGAAGGCGACAAAAATGCTAGATATGATTTTTTCTGATCCAACTTTTAACAATACATATATAATATAAATTGTAGGATCACACCAGAAAATTTCCGGTTCACCTTCGAAAATAATTATCCATATATTCAAAAAATTTTCACAATAATATTTATTATTTGATAATTTGACTCAACTTGACTTTTGCAAACCCTAATAAATATTAATAAATTATAAATAATAATAACATAATATATTACATATATTGTCGATAAATATAATTTTAATTCAAGTATATAAAGTTATTTTACTTATATATTACATTTTAAATAAACATAATTTGACAATGTATAATATATAAAAATTTGTTTTATATAAAATAATATATAATAAATAAATTTTTGTTATTTAAACTTTTGCTATTTTAATTAATTATTTACTTTTAATTGAATTATGCATATTGTGGAAATTAATCAGTCTGTTACTATATTGCAATTACCAATTGTATAATGTCAAATAGAGGTGTTGGGTATTGCATAAGATAAGTAAAAGTGTTAGATAATAAGCTAAATATTTTTTTAAAAAAGTATATCTTTATTACATTTTTTCATATGCTTTTCTTTTTTTTTATACATGTAAAAAATTTTTCAAATTCAAATTTTTTATTTTTTATTTTTAAGAACTAAGGTGCAATATATGCGAGGATTTTTATTGTAAGTTTTATAGATTACAATTAACCATTATATAAACAGTCTATGTTTAACTGACATACCACTCTTATTCTAACCCAAGTACTAACTTACATCATGGAGGTGGATTCATACCTGAGTATGGACTTCAGAGTGTTTTTTGTTTTTTGTTTTTTATCTGTTAGCTATCACTAGAGTCTTCTATCATCCAACTTGACAACTCACATGCCTAATATCATGGAGCTTACTTTTTTACACTTTTTAGTAAATGCTTCAAGAGTTTTTCTATGGTTGGCACACACTACCAAATCTGGGAGCTTGGTTGCTGGCCAAGTGGGGCACGATTCCTTAAGAATTACTTCTTACTCTCCCAGTAGACACTTCGATAAGTTTCTTAGTTGACTTAGACTGCCAAATCTAGGGGTACAAATATCAAGCAGGGTGTAACTCCTATAAAGTAGCCATGAATCTCTAAGCATGCCCTATAGGATTTCAACCTGAAAGTAATCGTTAGTTGTCTAATGAAATTAACAGGTTTTTTTTTTATAGTCTTATGAACTATAGGAGAGGAAGCAACCAATATAAAACTAGGAAATGCACCAAGTACAAAGTTGATCATCATAACACCAACCGGACGATCAACGCTACACAATATCTTTTCTGAAGAACACAATCTTAACGCCCGTTGGATTAGTATATGAAACGGCTTCGCATGAAAAACAATACATGACAGGTTATGGTGCCAGATACCATATGGAACTATTCAATCACCTTCACCTGGGATTGAACTGGTATCTTGTGATCTGACCTGTGGAGTGCTAACCACTGTACTATGAACCCACAGGTCATAATAATTGTTTTTTTTGTATCATACTGTATATACATATATAGTAATAAAATTTTGAAGATAAAAATAAAATAAATTTAAATATACTGTATATTAAAAAAAAACTTTCAATATTAAGAATTAATATAAAAAGAAATTATTTCACTTATCAAAATATTCTTAATAATAAGTGTCATTTATTATCTGAAGAATATTTCAATTTTAAATATTTAAATTTTAATAAATATAAATTTTTTATCTTACATTTTTTTGAGTATAAATATATCTCATTATTAATTGATCATGTATATAAACAAGTCTGTATTATATGGTTTATTTTTATAAATCTAATATATATAAATGGTAGAATTTCGTGTTTTCTTTTTATCTCTTTCTTAATGTTTGCCAAACTAGAATCTCCACCATGAGAAAAGTCTTTCCTAGATATTGCCAAACTAAAATCTTCTCTATTGAAGAAGTTATTTTGCTAAACCAAGGTCTTCCTCATTATAAGAAAAGTTACTCACAAACTTTTTTCCAAACCAAAGTCTTTCTATAAGAAAAACCTCTTTCCTAACTTTCTGCCAAACTGAAATCTTCCCTACCATAAGAAAACACTCTTTCCTAATCTTTTACTTGAACCAAAATCTCCCTATCATAAAAAATAGATAAGTGTATTATTTATGATGATTAATTATGTTCTTTTCTTTTGTCGAGTTTGTGTTGTAGGTAACAAGGTCTATTGGTCTTGTATAAGAGATTAGTTATATATTTTCCTTGTGTAATTATTTTATAGGTGAGTGGTAAAAGACTATATCCTATTGCTGTTTAATCTTAAAATTGATGGTAGTTTACTTCAAGGTAAATGATCTATTACTAAACTATCTGTTTTTCTTTGAGTGGTACTGGCTTTGATGTATTAAGTCATTATATTACAAATTTTCTTTCTATTAATTCTTTTTTCATATTTAGCATGACAATATTTATTAACTTTTTTTGTATTATTATTTAGTGATTTCATGAGATTATTTTTATTTAAAAAGTTATAATACGGCTTCTCAATTAAACCATCTGATTTTTTTTGAGTGATACAGGTTTTAGTGCATTAACCTTTCATATTGCAAATTTCTTTTCGATCAATTTTTTTTTATGACTAGCATGATAATATTTATTAATTTTTTTATATTATTGTTTAGTGATTTTGTGATAAGAAATTTTACTGAAAATGTTATTTTTAATTATCAAATTTATATAAACAGTTACTATAGAAATTTTCTTATAATGTAATATAGTCGATTATACTTTTCTTTATGAATTAAATGAACTTAATACAAATTTTTTTAAGTATAACTTATAAGGATAATAATAAACTATAAATAAAAATAAAAAATAAAATTTCTATTATAACATTTACTAGAATTGTATCAAGTTTATGTATACTTTCTAAGTAATATTGCTATATAAATCAAAACTTTAATTTGTTTTCTTAAGAGTTTGAATCAGAAGATATATTTTTAAGCAATTGAAAATTTTTCTTGATTTTTTGACATTAGTGTATTTACTTACACAATCTTGCAAAATCAAAAAAATCCTGTAATGATGTAGGCCTTGATATATATTTTAATTACTATGATTTGAGAGTATTAATGCTTACTATTCATTTTTATAACTGTCAGCCAACTTTAGAAATAGTGAGTAATAGTATTGCAACTTAGAGACGTAAATAATAATTCTTTAAGAATATTGTTAATAGCTAGGATGTATAAGGAGAATACAGTATATAATAATATTGTAAATCACTTTCAATTAAAGCTTTTATAATATTTTATTTTTAAGATTATTAGATAAGTTATTTTTTCAAATATTATTAAAAAAATTTTTTATTTGAATATTTTAAAATTTAAAAAAAAACAAATTATAAATATATTTTTATTAATTTTCTAGACAAATTTGCTTAAAAATACTTACAATTTAAAAGATAATATATAATTGTATTTTAATATTGCAATAATACAATAGTAAAGATTTTATGTCTAAGATAAATTGAATTTAATTTAATTTATTTTTATTTTTTTTATAGTGGAACGTATGCAAGGTGCGTGATCTTTATTAATACGTTATATATCCAGACAGATATCAAGTGTCTCTACAAATTAACCAGAAATCGGTTGGTATATGGATACCCTTTATGTCTCTACAAATTAATCTGCAGATTAACACTGCCTAATGCCTATATT